ATATATATGTTAAGAAATGGACAAGGTCCGACAATTTATTTATTAAAGACATTTTATTTATGTTTAACGTTGTTATTTTATAGATACAAGTATTTAAGCAAATGCTCTGTTTAAGATAAACAGTATTAAATAACATTTACCGGCCTGAATGTCCGAGAAATTTTTTCATAGAAAATATTCGTTCATAGACAGGATTCGAACCTGCATCCTATACGGAACTGTCATATACGCTGACATGCCTTAACCACTCGGCCACCATGAACCTTATGGTAGACAAGGTCGAATTTACTGTTATAAACTACAATCTTCCATGAATCTCGTACATTCATAACTGCTCTTATCGAATGTAAACAAATGACGTCATATGTTAAGTGGACACGAAATATAATTTATTTATTAAAGACATTTTATTTATGTTTAACGTTGTTATTTTATAGATACAAGTATTTAAGCAAATGCTCTGTTTAAGATAAACAGTATTAAATAACATTTACCGGCCTGAATGTCCTATAAAATAACAACGTTTTCATAGAAAATATTCGTTCATAGACAAATTTCGAACCTGCATCCTATACGGAACTATCACATATACGCTGACATGCCTTAACCACTCGAATGAACCTTATGGTAGACAAAGGTCTTATTATAAACTACAATCTTCCATAATCTCGTACATTCATAACTGTCTCTGGCGTATCGAATACTTGTAAAAAAAATGTTACGTAATACTGTTTATCTTAAACAGAGCATTTCCGAAATATTGTATTTATAAAATAACAACGTTAAACATAAATAAAAATGTCTTTAATAAATAAATTGTTACCTTGTCCATTTCTAACATATGACGTCATTTGTTTACATTCGATACGCCAGAGTTATGAATGTACGAGATTCATGGAAGATTGTAGTTTATAACAGTAAATTCGACCTTGTTCACCATAAGGTTCATGGTGGCCGAGTGGTTAAGGTATGTCAGCGTATATGACAGTTCCGTATAGGATGCAGGTTCGAATCCTGTCTATGAACGAATATTTTCTATGAAAATTTCTCGGACATTCAGGCCGGTAAATGTTATTTGATACTGTTTATCTTAAACAGAGCATTTGCTTAAATACTTGTATCTATAAAAATAACAACGTTAAACATAAATAAAATGTGTCTTTAATTTATTTTTTTTTATATATATATATATATATATATATATATATATATAAATATATATGTATATATATGTAAAAAACACCATATTTTTTTCATCAGAGTAATATGATTTTTCTGTGTCCACAGGTGTCGATGTTTATTTTATTATTTATTAATTATTCAGATTGCTTTGTTTATATTCAGGTTCCGAAAGTAGATGTTATATCTCTCTAGTTAGAAACACCTTCGTCCAGCTTAACATACTTCGTTCGGATGTTCGCCAATTGAGAGTGGGTCGTAAGTATCTCGATATAACTTCCAAATCGCCTTGGTGGCCACCTCCATCAAACTTAAAGTCTCAACCGTTTCGATACTATTTGCAGAGTGCATTACCTACAAGTATACATGCCCAGCGGTTTAAGTGTAGCTAACCTACTAGCAAATCTGTGGTAGTGAATGGGACATCTACTGGTATTTGGGCGGGGGGTATTCTCTTTCTTATTTTATTTTCCTTCTTTAAGTAAAATTATTTTTTATTGTCTTTATTCATTCCTTGACACATTTTAATTTACCAAGACAAATCATACAAATGTTAACACCTCCAATGAATGAGAATCAAAATCATAGAAACGTTTCTGAGACTAACCTTCGCCATATTTACTTCATGCAAACTCTAACACTTTATTACATTTTTATCTATTGTCGGATTTTTAAAAAAAAGTTTTCTGCTTTCTACATCATTAATAGCAAAAAAAAAAAAATCACAAGAAAACTAACACGAAAAAAAACCTCCAAAAAACTGTATCTTAGCAATATAGTCCCGCTACTTATTAATGGAATATTCTTGTCTTATAGTAATACAAGATATTCTTGCTTACTGTGGAGTTACCACAAATATGCCATATTAAAAAAAGAGAGATAATTCCAATCTTTTTTATTTGAAAATATCATATTATGATTTTAAATTGTCTTTTTCACTTAAACACATTTAACTAAAGCCAAAAATTATTGTAGTGGTTTAATTTAAGTTTAATTCAGTGTTTATTGTTATTTATTTGTCAAATTGAAGAGATTAAATTCGAGTATTTTTATGTCTTATGCTCAAAATGAGAAATAATGCAGAAGAAACATTTTGAAATGTCCCCCAAGAGGAATTTCACTGGAAGTACAGCTCAGCATTAGCTCCAAAAATGTTATCCAAATACGAGAACCTTAAAGAAGAAGAGGGCCCAGGATGTCATTCTGTGTTTTAGGACAATCAGTAATTCACAGAAAACAATTATTTAATAAGTTACCACACTTCACTTTTGATCGATTATTAATTTTATAAGCATCATAAAAATTTCTTCCAAGAGATTTTTTCAATAAAGAAGCAGCAGCTCAAAACACCTTCGAAGAATTCATCGGTTCCACAACTTTAGTTAATTCTATAGACTTACTTTATGCTGGCAATAATGTGCCGTTCTAAGGGTTCTTATTTTAATTAATAAATTTTATTTAAAACTAAGATATACTGCTTTACATTAGACGCATATATTTTTAACCAATCTACTATAAAGTGGTCTTGTATTTTAGATTAGAAAATAGAATATGATAAATATATAAGATCATTTTCTTCTATTTTGACATGATCATGAGATGATCATCAGAAATACATTTCATTCAGCCAAATCCACATAAAAGAGACAAAACGTGTTTCACGTAATGCAGATAGATGTTTGATTTATACTTTAGCTGTATAGTTTTATCATTAGACTGCAACTAATTTCAACTCAGTTTCTATTTGCATGTACTTATTTATATACTTTCACGCTTAAATATCACACATTGTTTTAGTGCTAATTCAATAAGAACACACGATGAACTGAAACAGTCCACAATAAAAACGGACATACTAAACTCGTATATAACAAAAAACAATTGAAACAAGAGAAAGAAGGGAAAGCATAATAAAAGAAGTCATCGTAAAGAGGTGATTCGATAAAATAATAACAATCAACAAGAAAAGAACAAAAAAAGAAGTTAACTAGTTTTCAATCCCCTCTCTTCGGAGCCAGCTGAGGACAAAAGTGTAAAATGTGTTGAACTGAGTTAAAAGAAAATAAATTAGGAATAGCCAGAGAAACAGCAGGGTAGAAAATGGCAAACTTTCATTTAAATGACGTTAATAAACTGCTATTCTCTGAATGGCGTAAATCAATAATACCAAAGCCTGTACTTTGGTTACAATTAAACATTATTACAACGGATAATGGTGGACTACTCCGCAAATAAATGCTGAAAATATGGGACAATTCTTGTACCGCAGGATCCACAAAATGCTTCTGATTAATAACGAGGTCATGAGAGTATATCATGCGGTTGATTTCCTCGATAAGCAGTCCAGCCATCTGAAAAAAATTGGCTAAATATACCGCACAATCGCTTCTTTCAGTCTCTGTTTTCCAATACACCACCTCAAATAATAAAGATTTTCTCGAATCACGTTCGAAACCAGCGAATACCCTATATCCAGGGTGCCATTTGGTTATGCTGACATGTACGATGAAAAACACATTTTAATTTTAATAATGATATAAAAATGACAGCTTATTTTACACCACTTAAATGAAGCCGAATATTGACTGATATGCCACTGATGTGAAAGATTGCAAAAAATTAGTTTACATGAAGGCCAAGTAGCCATTCCTTTTGTTTACAGGTGGTGGTTGCCTAGATCTATAATGTCTCTAATATTTTCAAACGGGAATCGGAGTTCGCTCTGATGATTATGGTAAAGAATTATCGTATGGTTTGCTGTTTTTTATAAACAATTTTAATATGCTCGTTTTATAGTATTAATAAAGTTTTGTACAACCACCCATAGACTGCTAAAATAGTCCGGTTGCAAGTTAATATTTGTGTATTCGTAGATCTGAGAAATTTCAAAAGATTTTCTTCTGAGTGAATTATACTAATTTTCTCTTTAAAATTCAATATGTTTTACATTCTATTTTCTAGATTTCTTCTTCTGGTGTAAAGAACATTTGAATAGAATATGTAAACAAAGAAAAATAAAAAGGAATTCTTGTCGCACTAATGATTGGGTATAAACATCAAGCTATATTATTATAGGTAAAGGGAGAATGAAGCCCAAAGCTCGTATTGTAACAATAATAATAAAAGAAAAAAAAGGGGATGGAGATAGTAGTAGTAGTAGTATGTACAAGAGCTATGACAGAGGCCCAATTAATTTTAAAACCAAGAACAAATAATTCAAATAAATTAGGATTTTGTAAGAAAGAAAAATATTAATAAAAAAAATCCAATGAATGACAATGGCACGTTGATATTTCCCTTTTTTTTCCTCAGATTATATTTATTTCAACATTTATTTTAATATTTGTCGATATTTTTAAATCTGAGTCTTTTTTTGCCTTTGGCTTGGAATATTGCTTAAGTGAAGACGTGAATATTTGTATGAATGAAGAAGGACATGCGTGCAGATGCATATTTGAGATATAATCTCTTTTGATTTGTTCGGAGTTCTAGTATTTTTATTTAATATTTTCTTTATTCCAAAACCTGCTTTTGATGCCTTAATGCGTGCTAATACAAAAATGTACACACGTATTTTTTGTTACAAATTTATCTATCAATGTTTGAAATGTAATCGATTCCTATCTCAACATCTTCCACGTATTATATTTTTATTTATGCTATAAAAAATAACAGCACATTTCGTTAGGTTCTTACTGTTATTACAATATTTGTTTTTCATTTATGAAGTACTAAATATATAAATATTCATAATACCCGTAAAAAATGACGAAATTGTTTAAACTGATGTGACAGTAAAGTTTAGACAACTAACGTGTCGCTTACGGTCACATCACGTTGAATCACCAGTTCTCGTGCGATCAGCGAAGTTAAGCAACCTTGAGCCTGGATACTACCTAGATGGGTGACCGCTTGGGAATACCAGGTGCAGTAAGCTTGGATATGTGGATGGTGCAATGAATAACGGCTCGAAATCGGAGAAGCGAGTTCCAATTCCAATAGTGTTCGTTATATTCTCTTACACGCAAATACCATTCTACCTGTACCTGTTTCAGCATTCACTCGGTCGATTGAGCCGGATCCGTCACACGAACCCACCACATCCAAATGAAAACTGACCAAGCGTAGCAGAGGGCGTTTCATTTAGACGTGCAAATCTTCAATGGGAATTTGAATTCACAAGCTGTCCTATTTAAATTCTCTGTTCTTCGCTTAGTCTGGTTGACAACCAAGGCTAGAGGATCCAGCCTCTCTTGTTATTTTACCCATAGCTGGGGAAAGAAGAGATTAGCACGTAAGTTCTAATGAACTCAACAGAAATTAGAACACAGCTGGCTTATTCCTCAAACCACTAACCATTACTCCACATCTTTTCTAATCATGAGTTTTCTATCATGTTAATAGGAATTATTATCTCCAAAAAGTTCTTACAATCTAAAAAGATTTTCAGGCTTTAAATAACATGCACAATTTTGATAATCTGTGAAAATAAATTAATCAATCAATGACATATCTATATATCTGGAATAATTGAAAGTCAGTTGATGGGTTGAGGAGTGGATTTATTTGGCTGAAGGAAACTCCCGCCTCCTAAAAACAGGATAAGCAAGAAAGGATGGAAATTGTCTGCAAATAGCATTGTACATGTTTCTTAGAACATGGCGAGAATATAGAAACCACGCTCAGAGAAAAACCCAAAGACACACACCTTCTGACTAACAATAATTGATGATGAATAAAATTCAATGTTACATAGGAGAGATTAATGTCTCTATATTTTTGAAATGTGATATTGTAACTATATATATATATATATATATATATATATATATATATATATATATATATGTTTACATTGTTTGGACTATCTTCATCATTCTTGTCATATTCACGACGGCCCCAGTGGATAGTGTTGGTTGAAGTAAACCAGTGACTTGACCCAAAGAGTTGTGAGTTGAATACATGACTACAGCAGAGGTGAACAAAAAAATTGAGGATTGAGTTACTAAAGGGTAATTACTGAAACTGAGATATCCAGAAAAGATATGGAAGTAGAATGATTTACCCCGGTGGACGAAATAAGGGGTTCGGCTTGAAATTCAAACTTATATCACCTGGAGAAGGCCGGATGAAACGTCGTGAGTATGACAATAAAGACGAGGAGAATAGCTCGAAAAATGTAAATAGTGTAAATAGAATAGATTAAATTTAGTGTTTTCATTAAGAAATGATAGCGTTCGAGTAGTAATCCCTGAAAAGATTATCCCCAACATATGAGAGCTGCCAAGAGTTTTCAAAATATTCCGCTAATAAGCTAAATCCATAGCTTCATGCCATCTCCTTCATATACGATCCCGACTATCTGTTCAGAAAAACTGAATACATGTCTCGTACAACTAATTTATACGGCACAACTTTTCCAATGGTCATGATTACTGGCCCAGTAGAGACACAGTAATCAATTTGGTAACGTCAATAATGGTGCCCTTGATGGCTGATAATGAAGAAAACACATGGAAAGTAATGTACGCTGTAAAATGTGCTAAGTGATGCGTATGGTGAAAGCGGAATTGAATAGGCATGTGATTTGAAGAATTGTTATCATTCTTGTCAATGGCTGGTGATCATCTTCTTGAACCATCTGGGGACATACTCACGTTACTCGTGCATCTGATGTGCTTTCCTGAATTTACACATACCTGGCATATATATCCACCACTAGTCCACTACATCTTTGCATATAACGTCGTACAAAAAAGCATCATGCCGAGTATTTTCACTAAATTAAATAAAGTTATATTATCAGTTTTGACATTACTTATACGATACCTATATATTAATTATATATATATATATATATATATATATATATATATATGAAAATATGACATCAATTTCTATACATCAGAAAGATTTTAGGCAAATTAATAACAAAATAGAAAACATTACGCCTACACATATATCTTCCCATCAATAAAAACATTAGTCAGATGAAGTCCTTCACGCATTACATAATTTTTCCTCTTTCTCATATATATTTATGTATGCTGATTCCACTAAACACACACAGGCATATATATATATATATATATATATATATATATATATATATATATATATATATATATATATATATATATATATATATATATATATATATATATATATATATATATATATATATATAACATTATTATTATTATTACTTTCCTTTGTTTTTAGTGGATACCGATATATGGGTACATGCTCTGTTTATTTATTAAACAATATACCTATTTTCATTTACCGTTCTGATAATTCGAGAAAATCTTAGTAGAAATATATCTGCTCTCCGGCAGGATTTGAACTTCCTTTCCCTAAGGGAAAAACGTCATTAGATTTGACGTGGGTTGACCTCTCAGTTCCAGTTTGGGGAATTAATTTTTCCTTTATGAATCCGACAGCTATCGATGACTATATATATATATATATATATATATATATATATATATATATATATATATATATATATATATATATATATATAATAAATTTAATATTTTAAAATTATGGTCCCATCGCACCACAGGGATTAAGCGCGGACAAGTTTAATATTTTAAACTGCTAAGGTCACGGAAAAATTCAGTCATTTTCATAAGGGTGTTTCGGTGTTAATTTCACCAGAAATTATGTATCAAATATAAGTTACTTTCAAAATCAGGTTAAGTTATGATGAGGTAGGGGTGTGCCTGCTAGTAAACAATTACCTCCGACCTTCGCGTGTTGTCTATCTTTTTATATGATAAAAAAGTTTTTGACCGCTTAATTTATAATATTATGCACAAAGAGTTCTTAAAGGGGTCGTCAGAATATGAGTCAGTCGTATTTTTAATATTTAAAATCTTATTCCCACAAATTTAAAGTACTAACTTTTAAAAGCCTGAACGTGAAAATTACTGTAAGTACTAAATTGAGAAAAGTGAACTTCAAAAAGCCCAATACTAATTCTTTTTATATACACCCTAAATCTAATCATCCTCCATCTATAATTAAGCATATACCTTCATCTATTGAAAAAGAATAAGTACAAATTCAAAAATTAGAAAATATTCCATGAACATAGTAATTTCTATAATAAAGCTCTAAAGAATAGTGGCAATAAATGCTCAAAACATCATTATATATAAAACGAAAATGGAAACAATAGAAAAACCGAAAGAGAAAAATCATTTGGTATACGCCCCCCCCCATACAACCAAATGGTAAAAATAAATTAGGACAAAAATTTCTTGCGTTAATTGATAAAGATTTTCATAGAGACAGTAAACTCAGTACAATTTTAATAAAAAATACCCTTAAATTAAGTTACAGTTGTACTAAAAACTTAGAAATGATTATTAAGAAACATAACGCTAATATCTTGAGTAAACACTTAGATCAAAATCAAAAAAATTTAGATCCTAAAATAAAAAGAAATGAATAAGCGGAAAAATTATGTAACTGTAGAAATCCTCAAAACAGTCTTCTCAAGAATAAATGTTGAATGGATCCATTGGTTTTTCAATGCGATATTTCATACACTGAAGATCCAGACATAGATTTCAAAAGGCGTTGGAACCAACATCAAATGTTCTTTAAAAATAATAAATGCAAAAATCAAACTTCCCTATCTAAATATTTCTGGCACTTAAAAGAAACCAATAAAACACCAACAGTAAAATGGAAATTAATAAGAAGAGCTAGCGCTTGTAGGTCATTAAATGATGCATGTCCTTTGTGTATATATGAAAAGAATACATTTGGTTTAACCCAATGAATAAACCATACAATCAAATCATCTCTGTTGGTAATCTAGTGGTCAGTGATAGATTTTTTAAAACTTATTATTTCAATAGATGTCATTACTTAAATGTTATTCGTAGTGGATACCCATATTTGAGGAAAGGCTCCATTTATTTATTAAACATCATATTTATTTTCGACTACAGTCCTGAATATTCGAGAAATATTATTAAAGAAATAGATGCGCTCTCCGGCAGGATTTGAACTTGTGCCTCCTTTGGCAGAAGAAACCGTCTTTAGATACATTGTGCTTTAGATCATCTCAGTCACGAAGTGCCTAGAACATCAAGTTGAATAGTGTCTTATAAATGCTAATCTTTCTCAGACTCTTGAAACATTCATATCTTCTCAGTGTCGTATCTAAACGTAAACAAAGCAATTTTTATATTGGAAGATTTTTTAATTTATTAATCCGACAGATTTTCTTCCTTAAATGTTATTTTTATTGGATATCCATGTAACATCCTTCGCTCCCGCCTACACCCGGTTGCGTAACCACGTTTTGTGGTCCGGTCCTGAGGGTGTTAGAATGACGTATTAACCAAGGTTCTAACTCTGCGCTGTTCAATGCTGACGCTGGTTTAAGCTGGTTGACAGTAGCAGGCTGCTTCGATCCACACCAACTCTGTCCATGCAGTGTTTTTTGATTTCAGAGCAGTGGAAAATCTAAGGCCGTAGTCTCGCAGCGCTGGTTCAAGCCGTGGCGGGTGCTATATTATGGAAAAAATATCTTTCCAAAGAAAATTAAAACGAGAGATTCATGGGGTTAATCTTCAGTTGGTACAGCAAAAATTAACCCTTCCCGCATTATCCTGTATAGTGGCACTGGGCTTAGTCTAAATATCTGGATGGCTGATTTCAAATCCTTGGAATCAGGAATTCTGGTGGCAGCTGACGTGGATTCCAGAGGCACTCGATGCGACATTTCAGTCCAAGTCACTGTGTTCCCCATGCACATCGACCCCAAACAGGGTTTTCTTTGATCATTATTTCTGCTTTCTTAATCGACTTTCAAAATTTGGAGAATTATCTACCTTCCTTGGAAATAGTTACAGGAATGTCTCTTCCCCTAACTCCCATCTGCTTCACTTCACATCTCACGCCACCACGCCAT